ACAGGTTCTCGCAGAGTTGAAACCATATGTGGTTCTGGCAGAGCAATTAGGGAGACTAGCTGTCCAATTGGTGGCTGGAGGAAGCGGTGTGAAGAATGTGAAAGTGACCTACGCCTCCGCTCGAGCCACTGATGATCTTGACACTAGACTTCTCAGAGCCATGATAACAAAGGGTATCATTGAGCCAATCTCTGATGTGTATGTAAACCTGGTTAATGCAGATTACACAGCAAAACAGAGAGGGCTGAGAATCTCAGAAGAACGAGTCCTCCTTGACGGTTCACCAGAGAGCCCACTCGATACCATCACGGTTCAGCTATGCAACGTCGAGTCTAAATTCGCGAGCGCCTTATCTGAATCTGGAGAAGTCAAAGTTGAAGGGAGAGTTAAAGATGGAGTCCCCCATTTAACAAAGGTGGGATCTTTTGAAGTAGATGTGAGTCTTGAAGGAAGTATAATACTGTGTCGGCAAGTAGATCAGCCGGGAATGATCGGAACTGTCGGAAGCATCTTGGGAGAGTCGAATGTTAATGTAAGTTTCATGAGTGTTGGGAGAATCGCGCCAAGGAAGCAAGCGGTTATGGCTATTGGTGTTGATGACATGCCGAGCAAAGAGACTTTGAAGAAAATTGGAGAGATTCCAGCCGTAGAGGAGTTTGTCTTCCTCAAGCTATAGTTTTGCTACCAAAAACTCGGTGAGGATTCGATAAAAAGAATGGCTTTGGCTTTATTTGTTTTGGTCTTTTCTACCACAGTTTTGATAGTGTCGAAGTAGCTTAAGAGAGAGTACGACTTGGTTGAGATGAAATAATAAGGTCTGCCTCAGAATTTGACCTTTGAGGCTATTCAAGTTTCTGTTTTATTATTATTGCTTCACTTACATAGTTTGTTCTATTTTACCATCTTTATGCAATTCTAATTTCGTGTCTTTCCTACGTACCTGTAATAATATTCCCATATTTGCTGGTGATGTACTCAAGGAATAAGATTCTGATATGCTTCTCGAATGAGAAAGACAGAACACAGAATCTGACCAGTCTTGCTTCTGTGTCCTAATGAGCTTTTTGAGTTTGGAAAAGGACACACACCATTCTTGGCTTCCTTTAGGAATTTATTCGTTTCCAGCCTTTCTTCTAAATGAGATTTGCCTTTACCATCTGCAAAATCAAACTTTCAGTTATTTTTTTAGAGTTTTCGCATGTGTGTTAATACTCTTTACAGATCTCTTATAAACTCAAGCTTAATCCTTACCACAAGAACATATCTTGAAACTTGTCATAACTTGTGTTTGTTTCAGTTTTGTTTGTTCTACATGGGAGCCAGATTTTCACGTATAGCGAAAAGGTTTCTTCCTAAGAGTAAAGTAAGGATTTTGATGGTTGGTCTTGATGGTTCAGGGAAGACTACTATCCTTTATAAGCTGAAGCTTGGAGAGGTTGTGACAACAGTGCCTACTATTGGTATGTGACATGAGCTTTTTTTATATTCTCTTGTTTGTTATTGCTGTTGAAACCTCTCTAGGTGAGGGATTGATCATGAAGTTAGAGTAAGATGTTGATTCAACTAAAGACAGAACACAGAATCTGAACAGCTCCAACTTTTGTCTCCTTTTTATGGATCTTAGCTTATTTGTAGATAGTTACTTTGTCCCTTTGATTGTTGTTGCATCTGTGAGGATGAAAAATTTTAATAGCTTGATAATTCTCATGTCGATGTTTATATCGTTCTTGGTTGTTTATCATTTTACAGGGTTCAACCTTGAGACTGTAGAATACAAAGGTATCAATTTCACTGTATGGGATATAGGAGGACAAGAGAAGGTAAAAATCCATGTCAAATTCATATTCATCTAGTGTTTATCTCTCTGCAAG